CTAAAGAAAGGCCCGAGGGAACAGATTCCCTCCGGAGAGCCGAAACGGAGAATCTGTTTGCGGAGCTCGTTCCTGAAACCGGTGCGACCGGGGCTCCCACACGGGGGGAGCGGCCCTGCAGCTCAGACAAACCCCGGGCACGGTTAGGGGAGAAGTGCCCTCTCCCACCCCTCTGCTCGGGGGAGCCCACCGCCCCCGGAGACCCGCTTTTCCCTCCGAACCATACAGGGAATATTTACAACACAAAGCTAACACGAGGCAAGTGAAGTCACGTATGCAAACCCTTCTAAGATGCTCGCAGCGCAGTGAAGATTTCTATACAGAAAAGTTTCACCATCATCATCAGAAGGTCCTCTTTCCCCCTGACAAAGTTCACTACGAAATCACATGCTGCAACCCCATCTACCGCGACTGGGGCAGGAGAGAGAAAGTCGCTGGTGCAAATCTGTTGGCTCTTCCATGGGAAAGAAACTTGGGGAATACCACTGGGAGCGAGTCCCAGCTGAACACTAAAAATAAGACGCGGTGGTGGTTCTCTAGACGCTTCGCTTGGCTTGTTACTCTGCTGCGTTTACAAGCGTTCGCATCCCCGTACCTTGACAAGGAGGTTATTATTCATCAGTGAGCTTCTGCCCCAGTCGGACTCCTTCCTATGCTCTGTGTGCACAGGTAACAGGTCCACACCTGGAATAGGTGTCCTGGGCCACTGCGCCCCCAACACAACTACAGATCAGCAAATACAGTATCAGACTACAGCTATACTGAATAACGGAGGGGAAGGAGGGCAGCTTCGGGGATCAAGACGTAGCCCTTCCTCAGGCAAGTGAAGTACATGCTGTAGTGCTATGCTGCATGGCTAAGAGAAATATTGTAATTAAGTCCAGAACTTTTTGCTCCTCACATTGTCATGAACAGCTGTGGTCATGTTTCCATAAAGAAGCAAAGAATATTCATAAACTCTGCTCACACGGCTGTTTGGGTGACTCAGCCCTTTTGTTGGCCTGTATAACAACACTATTCCTTTCCATGCTTCCCTCTGCTACACACATACTGTGTTTATTAACGTTTTCCCAGAAAAAAAATTACCATTAAACTTCTTTTTATCTCAAAAGGAGACAAAAGTGTCAAACAAAGCAAGAATAAATAAAGCATCTTTCTAGACTTCAAAAGGGCAAAGCGCAAAAATACATAAGAAAAAAAACCTCTGAAAAGATAGCTAGGTCCATGGGCAGGATATGTATTTATCTTTATAGAGCCAATATACTGGAAGTCTATGCACACACAGGAAAAATAAATCTTGTAAGTATACAGCACTGTGTGGATAATACAAGCACCGAACCTGGCGCTGTTTGCAGAAGAGAGGCTAGAGAAACATGGAATACTACCAAAAAACAGGATGAAAAATGTTTATACAAAACAATTGAGCTTGCAAATTTCCATCACCTTTGCAGTAGATTGAAAATAACAGGAAGTATTAAAAAATATACCCAGGACACAGTAGGAAGGTACACGGTCTCTTTAAGGCAGCCAGCCAAGCAGTTTTCTCTCCCTTTTCAGGCTCTGCTGTCTGCACCAGAAGACACTTCACCCGTTTGCTGCATGGGCAATGTCTTTCCACAGCTAGTTCATTCACGGGACTTGGAGACAAAAAATGACCACCTTCTGGTGGCTAGCATTTTTAACAATAAAAGTCCTATTCTTGCAAGCAAGAATCCCAAAAGTTTCCCACATTTGTGTCCACAATTACTTTAACTTTTATTAAAAATTCACCTATGGGCCAAATGCTATTTTCAGTTCTACCCTGCAGTCCCACAGGAATCAGGAGGCAAGACTGCTTCCAAGAGAAGGATTTGATCCTTCACATTGCCAGAAGATCCTGTATTTACTTTCCCTTGAATTAGACAGGCCTTTGACAAGTGACATGATTTTTCTCTGAAGGCTTTAACAGTTTAAGAATGACCATGCAAAGGAAGCTGTCATTATAGAGAGGAGTACGCAGAAGCCTGATGGAGCCACCTGCAGAGTCTGTTTTAGGGTACCCACGCAGCTTAGAGCCACACATCACTGAAGTGCTACTGGATAAACCACTCCCTAGTAAACGCTTCCACCTTCCTCTGTAAAGAGGGAGTGACATTTGCTTCCTTCTGTAAAACACTTCAATCGCACCAGATGAAAAGCATCACGTGCAGTTCCATAACGCTGTCACAGCCAAGAAAATGACTAAATTAGCAAGGTGGGTGTGCAATTATCTGATCGTATACAGCCACAGTACCTGCACGTGTAACATTTTTTAAGAGCCAGGATGTTAGCAACATTTGGCAATGAAATTGTGGAAGGAGAAAACGATGTCAGTTTTATGAAAGTTATTCCCAGGGCTTCCAGTTGAAATGCCAACATCCACCTATGCGAGTGGGAAGCCTTTCCCTAGTAACACCTGCAGAACCACACGGAATCTCTCTTCATTTCTACTTCCTTCTCTCCTCTGTGCTGTGAATGTATTTGTAGATCCTCTGAGCGCAGAGTTATCAGGGCCACATATTAACTAAAGTTAGAAGTCTATGGGGAAAGTGTGATACAGTCTTATTCCTTATGGCCTGAAACATTTGCTTTCATTGTTTTATGGTTTAGGGTTGTTAAAAGTCACGGCAAGTTAATCTGGCACAGTTCCTGCCAGGATGTGAGTTCATTTCTTAAATAAGTTTTAGAAATATTTCTGGATGTGGCTTTTAAGCTTTCGGAATATAAAGAGATGTAAATTAACAATTTCAGAAAGATCGATGTTACACCAGTGGGTCAGTTTCTGTTTCGGGATGAAAAGCCAGCTATATGCCTCCTTTCTGTCCTGTCAGATTGCTCCTTTTTTTTTTTTTTTGCCATAGACTTCTCGAAACTATTACATCTCTGTCTTAAAAGGTGCTGAATTACACAAAGAAACTAAAGATAAGTTTTTGGTACTTTCCAAACTAGACATATTTCCTCTGGTAAATTTCCCCCATATGAGATCAGTTAACCGAAAACAGGATGTGGCTCAGAGAGAGATTAAAATTTGAAGTTAGCTTCATTGCAGAGCCATTCCACCAATTGCAGGGCACTGTGTTACTGTTTCAGGTGAATGACAAATTTTCGCATCCAAGAAAAAAAGCTCATGAGGGAATATATTTGAGTATTATCTTTTTAAGATAACCCAAGGGCTTAAGATTTTTAATGAAACAGATTTCTTAGTACCTTTAAAAATGGAATTTAGGCTCAGATGCTAAGTGTATTTCCAGGGCTGAGAGTCTCATTTCAGAGAGATACTTGAGGTAGGGATGTCTCATTTTATAAAAACATAATTTTCATTTAGTATAAATTATCTGGAAATATACAAATGTTCCAGGAAACCCTGAAAGATTGGTAAAACACAGGAAGGAAACTTGTTGGTAGAAGATCCAGTCCCCAGGAGATGCAGTACTTCTAGGAACTGGAGCCAAGTGCTCCAAGTCCAGATTTCTCCCTGTTCATAGCTCTGATACGAAGTAGTTCTTTAACTTCTATGCTACTACTTCTTTTCTGACTTAAGCTACTCACAAAATAGGAGTACAACACAGTAGCTGTGAGATTTCATCAATTCATTTTCAAGATTAAAAAAAATATGAAGCATTATGAGATTTGATATATCGTCATCCTCAGAAAACTTGACACCTTTGCCACAATTCAATCTCTAGTTTACAATAAAATCTTTTAAAAGGTTTTTGTTATATTTGCCTGCACCTAGTACCAGTTGTAGCTCTGCTTTGTTATGGTGATATCCTGAGGACCCAGCCCAACTCATATTACAGGAGATGGAAAGTTTCCCACTAACTTCCATAAAAGAGTTGGACTGTAATCTTCAGAGACATCAGGAACCAATTTTTTTTTCTTCATCCCCGCTCTGCCTCAAGATTTTTTCCAGATCATATTCTCTGTTTCATAGTATTAGCCTCAGCTTCCCACTAAATTTTAAATTTTTTTTTCTACAAATAATAGATATTCTGGAACACCTTTTTAGCATTCGTCAGGGGAAAAAAAAAAGCATCCACAAAATGGACCCTGTGTACCTTCTGTCTTATTTCAGTCACTCACTAAAGCAGTTTCCACAATACAAGCCAAGGAATCACCCTGAAGAGAAGAGGCTAGACAAAACTAAAGTGTTTCTCTCTGTCATAGTGGCCTTGATATTTTCCTAGAAGCAATACTACTTCAGAGCAGAACATCATTAAGAGATTTCTGAGCCTGCCTCAGGTTTCAGGCAACCTTACTAGGCAGACCTTCTTTACTTTAAGAAACTCCGTGGTGGTATACCTGTCTCTCTCACGATGTCTCCATATCAGGACAAACATGGGGTACAGACGTGTGAAGCTGGCATGGACCAGTTTATGACAGTTTCACCAGATTAAGCTCTGCTTTCTGTTGCAGCCTGTCTGCATTAAGGGCTTATGCTGGTACTTGTGGTTATGCTTCTGTTTCTCTTAATGTACACAGAGCCTGATCTAAACTGGAAAATTCTTAGCTGCCTATTTCCATTCTTAATGCTTTGTAGAGAACTCTGGGAATGGGAGCTGTGCCCACCAGGAAGCCTGCCAAAACACTCTTCCAAAGCTCTGGATGTAACATGAAAAAACAAGATTCAACATCTTTTGACTATAAACCAGCTGACAAAATACGGGTATTCTATCGACAGCTCAGGTCAATTGTACGGTGTACTATAGAAACCTACACAATTATCAGAAAACTCAGTATATTTGAGTAGGACTAATTAGTGGAAACAGAAAAAGGAAATAGGTTTCTTTACTAATGTCTTCATTAATTCTCATTAATGACAAGAATAGAGGGGACATTGAACGTTATGGTAAATCTCCACTAACCCGTTCAGAAGTTATTAATTTTGCTAATAAGAGCAAAAGAAAGAGAAGCTTAGAAGATGATCGTTTACATGTGACAGAAGCAAAAAAGAGACTGACTATGCACTAACTTGCATCTCTCTCCCACCAAGACAATAACTCACTTTGCTGTTGTAGAGTGACTAACACCACTGGGGTTATCTTTCCAATAGTATCTTTCAGCAGGGTTCATGAACCTGAATAATTTCCACACCATCACCACCAATGTCTCTCTGTGCCTGTATTTTATGGGCGTGCAGAAGTTCACAGGAGGAAAATGGTAAAGTGAACCAAAGTCCCCATCAAAACATTACTACAGAAAGAAAACTCAGGAGTGTTCACAAACCAGGATGTCTTAAAAGAGGAATTTGAAGGAGAAAGAAAAATCTATCTTAAGCACAGGAGAAGCCTGAATGAAAAAGTCAAGTTGGAAGTGGGAGAAAGCAGACATAGAGAACGACAGGTCTATATTCTGCACAGAGGCAAGCAGACTTAGTGTTTAAATTCCTGCATAGAGAGAGTCCTCTCACAAGGCCAAGTACCTTGGCAGCTTTGCCAGTGAGGGGACTCCAAAAGCACATCATCACATACAAGTTCCCAGCAGCATCCCTGGAATTCAGCCAAGAAAGCAAACCTTGTAACTCCATGCTGAACATCTGCATCACAAATTGGATGTCGAAACCCCAAAGCAAATGAATGGGGCACAAAGTGCTCAGGAAATGAATGCTCCCATCTGTTCAGGTTCAGTAACCATGGGTCATCCTGGAAGAAATCAGAATACAGATTGGCTTCATCGTACAACAGTTCAGAATTGTGGCAAGTTTTCACAAGGTAAGGTTGTACTTTCTTTGTGTCAAGATAAGGGCAGGAAGGAAATTCAGCATTTTTTAATCTGGTTATTTAAATCACATGTAAACTCTTTTTCTTACAATGAATATTTTGCTTCACAGCCCAGGACTGGCAGGCAGGGCCCTGGGGAGCATTGCTGGGCTGCCCTCTGCCAGGACTCGCCCCGGAGCTGCTCAGAACCAGGCATGGAGATCAGCTGGACCACCGCAGACATGGGGCCCGTGGACACAGATACAGGATACACAGGAACGTGGCTTTCTAAGAATTTGATTTGAACTCATGTGGGTTTAGAAACGTTCCCCCAATTTCTGGTATCAATCCATGGGATCCTATTAAATTATGTCAGAGATTACTTCAACCAGGCATGTTTCCATGGGAAGTTCTTGATCGTAGCTTGTTTTTGAGATTCCTGACCAAAACAGAAGCTTAGCTGATCCTGCCAGGCTTCTTCAGTGTCATATGGAAACTGAAATGGTGAAATTGTTTAGCTTTGATAGGAAGCCACAAATGACACAAGGGACATGAAAAAGATTCCCCCATCAGCCTGGGTTGAGTAATTGTTCATAACCACAAGCTGGGCAAGTTTCATGGAGTTCGAAGTTTTAGCGTGAAGATACATCTCTGACTATGTAGGTACTTGGTACGGAAAAAAACATGTGCTGCCTTTTCAGTCACTAAGCACAACGAGATTCATCTCGGGAATTGACGTCTCTGCCACAAATTTATCTCCAGAGTTCTCTTGTCGATGGGAGTACCGGCCTTCACAAGAGCCTGTGCCCCCTGCACTAAATTTCACCAAGCTAATGCTTTTTATTGGCAGCTTTGAAAGCTCTTATCTGAAAGCAAACCCTCAACTCTGAGGGTTAATGCTGTGATTATAACCCAACATGGTTCTCCCAAAACCACTCTTTAACATGGCATGAAGGATGTGTGGTGAAAATTTAGTGAAAACTGGAACCAAAACAGGCCTCTTGACTTCCAGTTCCATCTTATAACCATATCTCCAGATCACCCTCCTTCCAGCAAAAGCAACTGCAAACATTGCTTCAAACGACTGTTCCGTACATACTGTTCTAACACATCCCAGCTAACTGGGGCTAGAAACGAAATACCTTTTAATATTGCACAGACTGGTGACTCCAAACTTTCAGAATTACAGCAATGGTGGAAACTCATATCTATTTCTACCTAGCTGTCAGAGCCTGGGGCTGAATGTTCTCTAGGACCTTACAGCAGTAGGCTGTTACGGAAAATTTTATGATTTGGGAAGTGAAAATGAGATTTTTATGGCATATTGCTTTTTATAAATAATGAAGGAAAACTGACAGACACGGAGGCATGGAGCAAGTGCAAGTCTTCAGTTACAGCTGCAGTTTATGCCCAGTCTGTCACCAACACTAGAATTTACGTCTATATATTGTAAATCACATTTCAGCAGGTATAAACTGGCACAGTGAAATGTGAATCTCCTTGTGTGTGGATGTGCGACATCTTTATAAAATATTTTCTCTTTTGAAAGAAATTTTCACTTTTACTTTTTGCGATTCAGTTAAAGCAATACTGCATCTACAGATCTAGATATCAAGTATAAAAAGTATGGCTCCTCCAAAATAACTGAACAGCATGAGCTGGGGATGTGCTCCACAGCCTCTCAGTATAAATTGCAGAGAACATATAATAGCCAGTGGAAACAACGCACTGCTGAGGTTACTTTTGTAAAGCCAAATTAGACAATGGAAGTCCATGACAGGGTTCCTTGAAACCAGCTTGCAGTGTGCTAAACCCAGACTCTGAACCTCTCTCTGTTTCTTTTGGAGTACTTTTAACCGGCGCCAGTTAGGCTGCTGTCATTAAGAGAAAATTGAGTTTCCATTATAAACCCCAATTTTTGTGGTTTAATATCTCAGCTGATTCAAAGTGCATCAACTATAAATTTTTGTTTGGTTTACTTGCAAAAGAAATTGCCTTTTTAGTTGTCAAGTAGCAAATAAAGGAGATACAGTCTGAACCGCGGCACCTTAAGAATAATCTGCATTTCATGACTTCTAGCTATGGAGCATGGGTAAATGTAACTATTTTTTAATAACCACCTGTGTGTAACAATTATTTCTTGGCTTAGAAAATAAAGAGTGGAATATAGCAATCTTTACTCAAGATTTCTCTGCTATTGTTTTCTAAACTTGCATGTTCTTTTTATGACAGTTGCGGTGTTTAATTCAGTTTGGTATTTTCCAGGAAATCAGTTGCTGCTTAAACATGTTTCCAAATTCCAAGTTCATTCAGAACTTGAAAAGCAAAATTTAACATGAAGAATGGAATTTTGTAATGACCCTGCAATTGGCAAAACCAAACTCTTCGTTCCCAGGAGAATGAAAGAGCCAAACCCAGATATTTCTCCTAATTAGAGAGGAAAACATTATTAAATATCTTAAAAATTGAAGGCATATGTAAATCCTATAAGGCGGTTTTTTACTGGAAAATAACTGATGGCCATGCCAAATTTCAGTGTGTTCTGATGTAAGAATTCAGCAGGAGATTAAAAACACATTTTGCTAGGAGACATGCATAAACATTAACATTTACATAGCCTGAAAATAAGCTTGTGTAGGCAGGGTCAAGTGAGACAACTCGTGATGGATGAACACCAAATTTGCAGTCCTCAGAGAGAGAGTGATTTTTTTAAATTACAAAATAATACTCACTCAAAAGAAAAAATGGATTTCCTTAGTGTGTTTTCACTCATCTTTTCCACACCCCTACTATAAATGAATTTACTGACCCCTGTCAGTAGATTCCACAACTCTTTGTTCGTGGAAAAAGGAGTTTGAGATTATTAATGAAAAAGATTTTTGAACTTGAAAGAAATCTTATTAAGGATTCAACTCTAGGATTTTGTATTGCTCTACCCAATGCAGGATCCCACCTGCTGACTCAGAAGAGGGGCTGTGTATGTTGAACATTTTCATTACTATAGAAAGACAGAAAATAATTTTGCTGTGATATGCTGACTTTACATTGCCCAACTGCATTGAACAAACAACTCGGTGTGATGAAGTGAGTATTTCTCCTCTTCCAGATGATTTCAGATTCTGAGTGTACCATCATAACAAAATAAAAATTACATGGTAACTTGGACTTGCATCCTACTAGCTCATGTACTCAATTTTCTCTTTCACCTGGTATTTAATATGATATGTTTTCAAGTCAGCCAGGAAAGAATTATGACAATCACTTCAAGGTACTGAGGGATTTAGCGTTCCTCTTCTAAAACTGTAGGTATTTCTAATAAAAAAAAAAATATATATGACAGAGCACTTGTCTGGCTAAGGCTACTTAGAGCTTGTGGCATATTCTGAAAGATTATATACACAAAATAAGTTCTGCACTACTAATAAAGCAGTGGCCAGAGAATGGCACCATTTGGCTCTCTTCCTAAATTAGTCACAGTAGTTAAACGCAGCACAGCAGCATTCATGACCAGACCAAAAGAGCGCGAGTTTCACGTGTCACTCTGCATAATAGGGTGGAATTTGGTCTATTCAAGTTACTTGCTAGCTTGGATCAATAGATTTAATTTCTGGTTGCAATGAAGCGAAGAGAGAAATCAGTTCATTTCGTGACACTTCGCTGTCTAAAGATCAGTAAAATACAATGGACACTTACAGAAATAGATATTTTTAAAAAGAACTAAAAGGCTTACATAGTATTAACCCTTAGAATTGTTGTTATCTCAGGAATCAAACCAATTCAGCTTTTACATATCAAGAATATTCAGGGAAAATCACATTAGAATGGCATCTCATGAATTTTGTTCTTCAAAGGCTGATCATAGAACGATAGAATGGTTTGGGTTGGAAGGGACCTTTAAAGCCCATCTAGTCCAACTCCCCTGCCATGAGCAGGGACATCTTCAACCAGATCAGGTTGCTCAGAGCCCCATCCAACCTGACCTTGAATGTTTCCAGGGATGGGGCATTGACCACCTCTGAGCAACTCGTGCCAGGGTTTCACCACCCTCAGTGTAAAAAAATTCTTCCTTATAATCTGGAAAATACATTACAAATCAATTAAGGTATAATGAACAAACTCATTTAATTTACTTTAGTGGGCCTAGCTTTCAGAGATTATCTGTGCATATCACTAGAAGCAACTCTGAAGTTCACTTTGGAGGGTATGTCGACTATGATATGCTATTATGTCAATAAATTACAATAAAAATCCTGTTTATGCATGATCCTTGGCATCTCACCAGAATCGACAGCCATTCTAGGAGATGTGAGAATAAACTTGGACTGAAGTACACAGCTTTCTAGGTAAGTGAAGTGTAGGCAGACCAGTAATCCCACATACAGAGCCTGGCTGGCCTTTTGGTAGCCTACAGAAGTGTAGCAGTTGAATGTATGTTTTTCTGGAACCACTAAAGCTATTAACCTGTGATTCAAAGCCTGGAACATTTGGAAACTTGCACAGCATGTATATAAACAACGAAGGAATAGAAAAACACTGTGTACAATTCAGATATAAAAGGACTTTTCTGATGTCCAGAATTCCCAGTAAGAACGGAAGTACAGAACGTGTTTTGAACTAATTTCCATTTCATAATACAGATGAGTCATCTAAGCAGTGATTATTCCAAGAATTTCCATTTTTGCTGGGATTAATCCTGTAAGTTGCTTAATACCTCAGAACTCTCCGACTACAAGTCACTACAGTTAGCATGGCAGCAGATTCTAAAATCAATCCCATGTTATTTCCTTCTTCTCTGTCTTACTAACTAATAAAATACACTTCTGAATAAGCTAACAGGACCTAAGGTTCGTTTTGCACAACCCACAAAGACCATATCTGTCTTTGTGATTTCATCTGGTTTTCTGACTGCTTGATAGTCAACCCTCTTTCAGATGTCTTTTTTTTGCCATTGGCAGTTAATAGGAAAATGTATTTTGGTGTCTGATATTAAAAAAATTACTCAAGACTCATTGAAGCCTCTTTGACACAGAGAGGAAACAGGAGAATATGTTTGTTTTGCTTATGTAGCCATCTCCTTTGTTGTATTCTCTTTCTTTTCTTTCTGAGGTCACTGCGGTCTGATAAACTCACACTGAATGCCAGAATACTTCAGTCGATGTTCCAGTGCTGCGGCCGGCCTTGTCTGCAGCCTCAAGAAAGTCATTTGACTGCCCTTTGGAATACAGTTTCCTCATCTATAACTCACTGCTTTGAGTCCATCAAATGAATCCACTGCAAGTTCTTTTTAGTATTTTTTTTGTTCTAGTTCTGTATTTTTAAGTACTATATGCATCACAGTACCGACAATTCTTTTTCAGTCTTTGCAAAGCCCTTTGAGATTTACAGATGTTGAAAAAAACAGACATTCCAACGCTGGAATATTTTAAGGTTTTTATCAGGTTGAAAGTCGCTTATGCAAAAAAAAAAAATCCAACCCTTCTGTGTAGAAGAGAGAGAAAATGCTGTCCTTTTATGCAGTGTTATACTGTGTACAAGTTTGATATTCAGCATATATGATATTCAGGGTACTCTAGAATGTCAGCTGGAGAACGCAAAGAAGATCCTTGAAGCCTTAAGTTGCAACAGAAACCATTAACAGCCTTGTGGGATGATTTAGTCCCACCAGTCTTAGGAAATTCTCGCATGCAATGCAGAATTGGCCCTCCTATACATACATTGATTAAGGGATACGGCTGTAACAGAGTTATTTCCCTGGAAATTAATTACTTATAACCCATACATATTAAATATTATTTCTTACATTGTCCTTCTCTATGTTAACTATGACTTACCTCATATGGATCAGATTGACCCGAATGAAGAAAATTCTTGTTCATTCCCTTGGCTATAATCTTGACAATCTCCTTGCTCATAGTTTCATCTGGTTTTATCTAGCACACAATGTGAATACAAAATTGGTAAACAGATTGATACAAATCTCATAAATACTAGTAACCACAAGCCAGAGCAAAGGTATACTAATGATATAGGCAGAGTTTAAATTAAGCCTCTTAAAGGCCATCTTAGCTACACCGTGCAAGAAGAATGGGAATTATTTTAACTAATATCTTAGTGTGACCCATGGCTATGATATCTGAATACAATTTGATCTTTTTCATACAATGACATCATTGTGCTTTAAAGAAATCTTCGGGGTCCACCTTAGCAGGGATAGCTGAGTCAATATCTGCATTTATTACCAGATGCAAGAAACAGGGGTTTATGAGAAGATGTATCGCTCTGGAGAGACAATTAGATCTCATAATACACAGTTACTCTCATAACAATACTGTATGGTTCAGAAGTAGAAATGTTTACAAGTGGACTGCCTAGACATCCCCACTAAGCATTTGAGTATACTTCTCCCTGCAATTTGAGTTTATATCCAGTTATTATTGGATACAGTGTTACCTTCTTACACTTCTTAGAAAATTTGGAGGATTAAAAAAAAAAAAATACTCACAGAGCCAAAATTAAAAATTGCATTATCTGTGACTATCTTCGTTCCACACATTAAACACTCTGGATCAAGGATATTCCTAAGACAGAGGGAAAACAGTAATATTAAAGTTCTTGGATGTGCTGCTTTCAGGCAACTATTCAATAAAAACGTGTGCAACTGTACTTTGTATGAAACTTCTCAGTTTTACGGGGAACCAAGCTGATATGTGCCAGGATCTGTGAAAAGTCTGGCCCTTCATCTGCCACTTTCCTGGAGGCAAGGCAGCAGGCTTTTTAACTGTCAAATTCAGTTATCAAATGCCAAGGTAACATTTTTTGTAAATCTACCTAAGTTGCAGTAGACGTTGATTCAGTTTAATGTGTCTTAAAATACAAATAATGAATAGCACGCATATTATTTAGGAATTTTGGATTTTGGGGGTTTTCTTTAAAAAAAAAAAGAAAGTCGAGCATAAAAATAGCATCAGCTAGTGTCAGGAATGGAAATGCAGAAATTAGAAAAGAGTACAAAAGGAAAACCTCAGGAATAAAATAGTTTCTTTCACAGAGAGGATATGAAGTGGCTGCATATATTTACAGAGCTGTACAAACATAATTTTATACCAGCAGGCAAAGGTTATCCATACTAGCAGAAGATGATGACTCTCTCCACACCTGCTTAGCCTCCGGATCCTCCACCAGCACTGAGCATGAGGTGGCCACTGCAATGCAGAATAGCCACTAGCAATAAGGGCACAGCCCCTTCAACAAGTTTTACAAATGCTGCGTGAACATCCCATCTAGGCATAGTACAGTTTTGTTCGCAGTGACTGATGAATACTGAAAATATTTAATATCATTGTTTTGTATGATAGAATTACCTTAATAACCAGATGACACAGGACATACAGTAACTGTGTCCACACGGTATCTGTGCTGGATTCTGCAGAAACATTTTGCACAGAGGACAAATGTATATGGAAGAAGCATTACTCGTGTACTTTTCCATAGGTTCTTCAGAAGCACGGGAGCTACTCATGGCTTACGCATGCTTGACACCAGAGCTTCCGAATACAGAGGTGCTGTAGTATGTTCTCTTACGAAGAGAAACCAAAAACTTTAGCCTAAAGCCATCACTGTTTTTTGGTGTTGTAGTTAAACTGCAGATGTTAATATAATCCTGAAGAAAAAAAAACCAAGAAAAAGATTTAGCATTGGGCACACACTAAAATAAACTGCCAGCCAATCAACATGCAGTAATAGCGTACTTAAATGTAGACCAAAAATTTAAGGACTGCGGTAAGAATTTACCTAACCAAACCAATGAGGAGGCTGGAAAAATGAGTCGGTAATTCCCAAACCACACAAATTTGAATTGTGAAGACACAAACCAAATTAAGAGGAAAGATGAAAAAAGCGGTAATTGGTATTCTCTAATAGGCATCATCCCGTATGCTGCCCTAAAAATAGAGCCTCAGGGGAGCTGCCTCAGAAACCTTGTTCTGGTAAAACCTCCTCCAGTGCTACAGGTTTACAGGAGTGGAGATTTCAAGACAGAAGAGAGAGGCTGAAGGAGTGTAAGAGTGACAAGGCAGCACTACAATCCAAAGACTGCTATCGTTAGCTCTTACGAATTTAGAAACAGGTTGCCCTTCTATGGTTCTAGATTTTATTCTATCGTTTTTAATGTCTCTAATTTCTGTTCCCAATATCTATTTCACACAGGTTTTATTTAGTTTATACGTCATTTCTCTGGGCTGCTACTGCACGTATTTTGCTACCAATACTTTTCAGCATTGCAAGATTCGCTCATGCAAAGGAACCACCTTAAGCATCCCTACTCGTGCTTCCAGATCAATGCCTTTTATTGCACGACTAACAGTTTTGAGAAACTCACAATGCCATTATCAGCACAATGCACACAGTGGTAAGAAACTTTTGAAATAAGCTGACCATATAAAATTAAACCACTGAGTAACCTAGTCTGCTGAAATATCATCAAGCGTCTATGCTAAAAACACAAGCTCCAGAAAATTCTAAAATTAAAACATCTCCTGTTTCATGTAACACGTTTTAAGTTGTAGCTTAAGTGTTACTCACTACATGCTACCAAGTAGGTGGTGCACTTGCCAGAAAAGCCCAGGTTAATTCAAGAAAAGGAGGGCTTTGTTAGGCTGAATTTCCTCGTTTGTGTGGTTTTAAGCTGCATTTAGACTACATGATCTCTGTAAAAGGCAGGAAGCAGCACCGAAGTACCTTTCCCATTCTGCGTTCTCAAACATCACATTTTTCCATGGGCCGAAATGGGGTAATTATACGATTCTTGAAATGAGTACTGCACCCTGACCTATCGGTTGTGTTGCCGCTTGCAGCCTCTCTTACGCTCAGAACTCTCAGCTGATCAGAAAGGACTTTGCATCCTCTGCCCATGCTTTATCCCACAGCCCTGACTATGATACCATCTCTGGTAAATCTAAAATTTGTCCAAGAATCTCAGAGATTGTGGGGTGGTTACTGTCTTGCAGGTGAACTACTTTGACAAATAATTTGGGTGTTATGAAGGGAAAAAAAATGTTGCCAGTAGATATGTAATTACTATTATGGCACTACAGGTGAGAATGCATCTCTTTTCCATCCACTAGGAAACATGTACAGCATTTTCAGTATCTGAACTTTTGAAAAATGTCTTTTAAAAGTTTTTTTGTTGGGGGGGAGGACACGGGGGAAAAGTAAAATACTAATAGGACCTATATGAAAACGATGTTCTTGTGCTCCCTCTGCTGTTTCTGCCACAGCAGAAAACTGGGAGTGTTTCAAGAGCTGTGTATATTCCTTCATATACAGTAAGAAATCCTCATGCCTACACAAAAAGGGGAGTCATTTCTCTTGGCAAAAGAATTTTCGAAAATAAAGAAGCATGGTGTAAAAATTAACGATAAACAGCATTATCTATCTGGAAAGCAAGCTTCTATGCGTGATACAACACCGTGGACCTACCTGGGCTTTCTTTAAATTAACATTAAATTATCTTTCATTAAGAATACTAAGAAAATATAATTCCATATGAGTTCTGAATAATACTGTAATTTAAGTTACACTATGGTTATTTACTATTATAATTGTTCAAACAATTCTTAGCAAGACTGCAGGGTTAATATCCAAAATACGGTCTTTCTAAAATACAAGCAGTGAGAAACATACTACTAGTTTTAAAATAGTCTGTTTTCTCTACACAGATGGATGACATACAAACACCATCTATCAGAAGAAACCAAATACAAGAACATCAAACGTATTTAAAATTGGTTGAAATATCCCATATAATAAACAACAATTAAAAATGTCTGGAAAGAGGACTTACCAAACTGGTTAACAACTGAAATTCTTAGCACATCATCAGCAAGGGGAAGCTCTAGAACTAATCTCTCTCAAAGTGGGATTCCCCTGAATCACATGCTTGGTTTTTCATTGTAGGAGCACAACTATATTCTTTTTAATACTTGGTTTAACACTGCCTTCTCTTAACCTTAGACTAACAACATTTACATTAGTGTAAGGTGATTTTTATCATTTTATTAAGAGCCTGAATCAGCTGCAAGAGGGTATAATTTCTTCTTTTGAAATCTAAAAATCAAGGAAAGATGAAATTTTCTTGATAACAGTTTTGCAGAGAAATACATCATACGCAGTTCCACTTTTGTGAACATGCAAATTGCAAAACAGTAATTGTGTTCTGAATATTGGTACTAATTAAAAAATACCACTTAAAAAGCAGAAGCATGTTAATTTTTTTCATCATAACAGGCCTGATCTGAAGATGACATATAAGCAAAATAATTAGCACTCTGCTATCTAACATAAATAATGAAGACAAGGTAGCAGGCTGCTCAACTTGTTTTAACATACGTACCAGACTCTGCAAAAATATTTGTAAGTAAACTAACACGCCTCTTAAGATCTTTCTAAGTCTGAGATGAGCGCAAAGTTATTGTGTGACTTCACTATTTGTAAAATACCAAGTTTTTAACAAAAAATAGCTTTGCTTTTGCAGCAGACCTATGCAGCACTTCAGAAAAACACTTTTTGTCTCATCAGACAAACTGTCATGGCATGTCCAAAACATTCCATTCACTCTTCTCTAAAAAATTCCTTCTAAAACACTATTAATCCTCTCAATATACTACTGCCACTTTGCAAATTGCAACTGCCAGTGCAGATTTAACAAACCTGGAATGAAAGTTCTCTCTTTCATACACAACTACAATTTTAAAAAGCTTCTTAGTGAATGTTTTACTTATCTGAAGAACTTTCCATGCCAAAACGCTCTGCAAATGAGAGTATCTTCCACACATATAAGCATCAGTTCATAACTAAAGTCACCAAGTATACTTATGGTCTTCCTGGCTGCTTTTTAACATCATAATTTCAGTTCATTTATTTATAAAAAGTAAAGTTGACCATAACAGTTTCAAACTGTAAGTTTCCAATATGTCTCATTTCCATTGCAGGGACTGGGGGTTGTTTGTTTGAGCCATATCTCAGTGTTTCAGTACACTGTTAAAGTAAATTTTTTCATTTCAGACATGGACTGGAAGAAAATAATTTATTAAAACTTTGTAAATCTTCAGGACTGTTTAATTTAAAAATCTATTACTCAAACCATGAGTTGAATGAAAAATATCACTCAACATGTTAAGATGAATGCCTGAATACTAGCTTAGGTAAAAAGAGCAAGACTTTGTCACCTGCAGGTATAAGTGAACTAAAATGCACAACGGGATCAGGAGTACCTGACTTCAGTATGGCTCTTGGCATAATCTAAAATAGCTTTAGGAGGTCTCTTCCATCATTATTCAGTACAGCACTTTAACGAAGAAAGAAAGTGAACATTTAAAATAGTCACTGTAAAGGAACTGGGACTGAGTAAGGTTTTTGTCCTGAATATGTGGATGCTATTGTGCTAGGTTAGATAGATTTTTTTTTTTTTTTTAATTTGCTTGGAAATTAAAGTTGTAACAAAATTATTTGCTAAACAATTTTATTTTTCCTTTTTTTTTTATATGAAGGAAGGGTTATATTTAATAAGATATCAGATTTTAATGCCTCTAAGTGTTACTCTGGCACAAGACAATACTTCCCGTGTTTGTCCGTTTTACAGTCAACCCACTTCACTTCACCTGACTTCAAATGTCTTTGCAGTATTCTGCGTTATTCTCCCATCCAAGCTTAAATATCATACCTTGAACATTACTATGTTAGAAGAACATGGCTATAAAATACAAGCAAAGACCATTTTTCAAGGTGAACTATTAATGAATGTTAAGTTCAGAAAGAATTACTAAACAGCTGAGGATTTTTTTTTTTAAATGAGATTTCATCTGTATTTTTCATGTAAAAATTCTCCAAGTAAATCAACAGCCACTGATGATGAGATCTTCTGCAAAATCTTCCATTGTATTTACAAACTCCTGACAAAATGTACATGCTGTATTTGAAGGCCACCACTCAATCCAAGTGCTGGAGTCCAAAGGGTACTGGAATCTATGATGACAAAAAAAATGATCACTCGCTGCTAAGATTTGGGAAGGAAAATGTCAAACCGAAAAAAATTACACTATAAAATTGCTTGCTTTGTGTTCATTATCCTGTTTTAGAGGTACACATCTGAAAACACATTTGTCACTATTGGTCCAACTAATACTTAAAAAATTAAATCAATTATATATTCCCCAAGAATTATTACATACAAACACTTGTCATTTCACCGCACATTTTAAGATTAAATCTCTAAATATTCTGATTGTTAAGTTACATACTTGAAATTGTAACCAACGCTTATCTTTAAGGCTTCTTTTCCCATGATCAAATACTGCTCTCCTGGGCTCAGTTCAACATCTGTACAGGTCTTCTTTTTAATAAAGGTTATTTCATTATTCTTCTGAGCAAAAGCCTGCCCTGAAGTAGAATGTCAAGAATTGAAAATTTCATTAAGAGAATTTCCAGTCACTCATATATTAGACAGAAGACACCAAACTGTTCTACAGTACGGCACAGCCAAGGGATCTATTTGCCACTAGTCATAGAACAGGAAAATCTGATGATATAAAGCATGTTTCTTGTAAAATATTTAAAAAATTAAATATGAATGGTAAATAAGCCTTGTGCACACTAATTAATTTTATAATATAGTAATTATAAGGACATACTGGATGCTTAAACTCAGAGGAAAAATGACTGAATATCAGCTTCAGTTCCACAGGACCTATGAGCAGCTACCTCTCCCAAACCTAAGGCAGTGAGTGCCCAAGAACCTTCGAAAGCCCTTTCTCCCAGGAGCAGAAACATGCCCAACCTATGAAAATCGGAGAAAAGTTAAGGCACGGTATATCCGTGTATACGACCCCACTTCAATCATTGCATATACAGTAAGGGAGGGCATTCTGTGGAATCAATGAGACATTTGAATAACAGCTCACAACTGTATTAACTGATTATGGAATATGTTCGCCTTGTTTTGTCACATAAAAGGCATTTGACTGATTATAGTTTTGGTTTGTTAACAACAGCTATAATACAGAAAAGCTGTTTGAAAACATCAGCCAAAGACTGCCTTTCTCAGGGCACAAAAGAATTCTCAAAGGTTGTATTTGAGACTACGGTTTTCTGTTCTCATGGAATGACTAGGTTTGACTGCAGATTTTTTCCAGCTGCTTCAGTGGTCTCAAACAGACAGCTTTTACTCTAAATAAATTGTTAAACAGGACACTCACCTCTTTTATAGAGATCCAGAAGAGCTGCAGAATACTTTACAAAATAACCTTCCTCGCTGCGAGATAAGACGTTCACTTTATAAACTGCAGAACAACACAAAACAAACTTTTTGTAATTTCTTGTTCCTGCAATACATACTAAATGTCTTACAGATACTCAGATGGAGAATGTAATGTCCCTTTACAATACTCATTCCTGGGAAAATGATGGCTACAGCTGTACACTGTAGGGCTAAGAAACATTAACACGTTCTACCCGTGCTCTAAGCTGATAGAAGCTCTACCCATGCTCTCATCTGATGCCCCAAAGCTGCCTCTGACCCCACAGCCACATGATCATGTTAGAACGGTACCAAGCAAGAGAGACACAGTGCTTATTAGCAGAACTCATCATCAGATCAAGCTCCCGGGTGCACTAACCCTGGTTATGTGTCTTTTATTCAGCAGAGGGTATGAGCAGGACTTGCTCTTCTCTGCTCCAGTATGTCGCCTTCA